ATCTCTTGGTCGATCCGTAGGTGCGGAGAGGGATACATCATGTCACATTGGTCCCTTTCCTAACGCGGAGGGCCTTCTAACCCGCGTAGTTGGAAAAGGATCAACGCAAGAATCTTCAATGACGTAACAACATCCCTGATCGACACAGGTGGTTCAATAATTCGCGCATCGACTCCAGTTAAGCCTAACGGGCCCACTCGGAAATTAGGTTGGCGATCCCATCGTTAGGTACTGGGTGTCCTGGCTGTCACAAGACCCTTCCATTGCCTCTACACGAACAATCGTCAGATGTTCTCATGTGTCTTTTCATTGTCAGAGGGTCCCGACCAGCGCAAGTGGTCCTCTGGCATTCTGGGTCCCTCCTGCTCAGCGAATGCTCTGGCCGACTCGAGGCCCAATTGTTGACACATGACATCCTGTTAGGTACTGAGGGCCCCTAACCGATACAGGAACCCTGCATTGTTGCAAGGACCCCGACCCATTAAAACGCGGGTCAGGCCTTGCCGCTGCTTTGGAAATGGCCTGCCAGAGTTCAGACCGACACAGAACATTTGCTGAGCAGAAGGGGACCCGGAATGCCAGAGGGCCACTTGCGTTGGTAGGAGCCTTCCGACAATGAAAGGAAACATGAGAACATCTGATGATTGTTCATATGGAGGCAATGAAAGGACCCCAGTACCAGCATTGACCCCTAGTATTCCGATGGTGGGCCTTCCAACCTAATTTCTGAATGGGCCCGTTAGGCTAAACTGGAGTCGGTGCATCAATTATTGAACCACCTGCGTTGATCAGGGATGTTCTTGCGTCAATGAGGGTTATTGCGCTGCTAGCATTGTTAGATCACGCTGCTAGCGTTGGCGGGCCCTTCGGATGTCTGTGCTTTTGTCATTATTGGAATATTTGTCCTTCCATGAATGAAGCAAAGGCATATATGATGAACAATGTCTTAGACAAAGCCCATAACAGCTATTCCCTACAATAGCTCAACCGGTTTTGCAATGGAAGAACAAATGGCATGGCGGTGGAACGGAGAGATTCTGGGTTCGCATCCGTGGATGAGCAAGAAGTTTTCCGTGAGCCACACGTTTCAGGCTTATTACTAGATACGCCCTTGCACCCCTGTGCGAAACGCTTTAGTCATCCTGTGGGACCAGGAGTAAAAACTTTTAGAAACCGACTTTTATCTTCATTATGACCGGATCTTGACCAAGATCCGGCGATTTACATGAGTCCATCACCGATGACACATTCATACCCGTATCCAGTCCAGGTTCGGTCTTTCGGTCCTTGCGCTGTCGCCGTGAAAAATGGTCTGGAACAAAGCGTTACCTGCCAGCTGTGCTGGAACGTGACGACGCCGGGCCAGCAGCACCGACAGCCGGATGCTCTATTGATCGTGGCAGCAGCGGGTACCAGTCCCCCGAAATTACGACGTGCCCCCTGCGCCCACCAATCGTGGCAGTGTACAAGAGGGACGCGCGACACGTACCACTTCAGGTCCGAGGTACACCGAGAAAAACTGTTCCCCAATGACCTTTGCGGCGTTCGTCAGATAGATTCTGCGAGGCGTCTTTGGGCGTTGCGCGCTTTGAAGGAGCACTAATGAGTCTTTTAACACAAAAAGCACACCTAAAAACATGCGTCAAATCACCTCACTGTATGCCATTGTGGTACGGCACGTGCGTTCCAAAACTTTAAGGCTACATATGAAGCCTAAGGTTGTAGCTGTATGCAGACATAATAATATTAGCCCTATCCTCACTATTATAGCAGGATGGAGGTCAGAATAAAACTGATACAGTTTTTCCTACTCCTCCCTATGCAGCGCCGGTCTTTAATCACTGGTAATTACCTGCGAGGGTGGCAATAGCACCAACTGGTTCTCAAAGGCTTGCTGTTTTGTTGAACACTGGAAATGCTGAGTTTTCGAACCCGTAACCTACAGCTACACCCAGGGATTTGTGAAACACCTAACTATCCTCCGTTTGTGAATGAATCACACGTTCAGGGGCGGATCCAGAGGAGGAGGCGGGGGGGGGGGGGGGCGAGAGGCCATGCTTTCTGGGCCCCGAGGGAGCCCCATAGGCTTTGAAGAGGCCCAAAGCCGGCCGAGCAGATGCATATTTAAAACGCACAACGCAACAAAATTTGACATATTTGGGCCTCCAGGCGTCCGAGGCCAATCGCAAGCGAAAGTGAAGGGCCCACGAGAAAACAAGAATTACTATCTACTGATCGTGGTTCGGAATATTACGATTATTATTTACTGGCCGTGTCTTGGGTACCTCTCAAGACCTATTACCCTGTTCACAGGCCCTATGCTGTTTCCAGGAAACCTATATGCCCAATTGCAGGGTCAGTCAGACGATTAAGGAGCCTTCCATGTTGCATTTACCTTCCTTGCAAATGCTCAGAGGGCTCCAGGCTGTTTGTGGGGCCCTTCCTGCTACCTTGCCGGGGCGCTCTTGTCAATCAGGGGCCCTTCACGGATTCTTTCCATTCTCCCGAAAGGCTCCGTCTGTACGCTATAGTCGGGGGCCTCACACGTTAATCTGTACGCTATAGTCGGGCGCCTCACACGTCAATCTGCCGGGATATTATCGATCGCTCAGGGGCCGTTCACGTTGGTTTCGATTAACATGCTCACACACTCGAGATATGCTCATGGGCCCTCCACATTGGTCTAGGGCCGTTCCAATTATCTGTCACTTGCTTAGGGCCCTACGGTCTTGTGGAGGGGAGGGCCCATCTGTTAACCTGTTTGGGCACACTTGGTCGTTCAGGGCGCGTCCAAACTAGGTCTTAGACTCTTTCCATTTCAAAAGAGGTCCGCACACACCTGTCGGGGCCGGCTGTTAACCTACTCGGGCACACTGGATTGTTTGGGGGCATTGCGCGTTTGGTATTTGAATGTAGGGCCATACGCCCATGTCGGTGGGGGGGGGGGGGGGGTTCTATCCGATAAACTGTTCAGGCATATTCAATCGTTCGGGGGCCCTCTACACTGTGTCGCGGATATTTCTTATTTAAATGTACGGCCCTACACTCTTGTGGGGACCATCTTTTAACCTGCTTGGGCACATTCGATCGCTCGGGGGCCCTCCACGTGGTGTCTTGGGTACCTCTTATTTGAATGGATGGCCCCATGTTCTTGGCAGGCCCCCATGGCCACCCGCTCAGGCTAGTGGCGGATGCAGAGGGGAGGGGGTGGGAGGGCACGGGACGTGTCCCCTTGTGCCCCGAGGGGACCCATAGGCTCCGAACGGGCCAATAACCGGCCGGACGGACGCAGTTTTCTTCTACGAAACGGAACAAAATTGGACGTCTTTGGGGCACATATAACCAAATATAATCGCAGCTGTGTGCGAAGAGCGTGCGAAATGTCCATGAGCAGACAAAGGTAGTTTTTCGCTGATTCAGGTGTTGATTTTGGGAAATTTCGTGGCTCATTACGCTGTCCGGAGGCCTTACGCCGCCACCTGGCCTCGGTACGCCCACTTGTCAGGTCCATCTTAAAATCTAATGGCAGAAATATGAGTTTTTGGGAGAGGGTCCCAAATTCCAGGGGGCACACAATGTTGCGCCCCGTCCCTCGTTGACGAAATTCTGGATCCGCCCCCGCACACGTTTCGTAAATACATGCTTTGTTTTATCAAGGCAGTCGCAAAGCGGCAGTGAAAGTAAGTCCTGACACACCGTGATTCCCGTAAAAGGTCACCTGACTCAGGTGGGAAGAACCAAAAAAGGCCGATCAAAAGAACCGGGACCGGGTTAAGCTGTCCACCAGAACCGCATGACTCCCAACAGGCTAACAATGAAATCCAATACAATCGATGAAAATCATTGCACTTCCGTAGGGGAACCGAAGTGGAGTATTGTTGTGCAGTGGTTCCCACAGCGAGTTATCTGTGAAAAATTATAAAAGCCGATCAAAAGAAGGATCGTCGCACACCCAAGCTGAGCCTGCAGAAAGGACATCCGTTCACAAAGGCCCTTGAAATACACTAATTTTGCGACGAAAAATTCGTAACATTGAAAAACAGCGTGGGGAATCTTCGCTCCCATCGCGTGCTTCGCCAGCTTAGTTTGTATCAAATACACTTACGAAGTGATAGCATACAATGCCACGACTACGGATAACGACGGGAAGAATCAGTATGCCTCGATCTCTCACAGAGGGTGAAGAAATGAAAGAAGAAATGAACGGAACACGTGAAACGACATGAGGATGAGAACAATGAACTCGCGAGGAAACCTAACGAAACAACCTCGGGGGAGTGTAGCAAGAAAACGCCGTAGTTTGGCCGCGTGATGAATGCCTGGAAATGCGGATAATGCCCGTGGTTGTTTCTATGGCCCAGGCACGAGGATCTCTCCCAACATTTAATAAAAGTTACCTTGTGCATAGAAAGCATAGAAACTACCAGCCACAAAAAATTGGCTTGCGCAATCATGCATCATTTTGCGAGCCCTGTACCCCTGGTCCCATTGAACGCGTGTCTGCTCTCGCTCTCAGGGCTGGCCGCACGTCTGTGTGACGGGTCACGTCATATCGTATGCACCACCAGTGTGCGGCCCAGCCCGGCTCGCGTACTGTCGTCCAGCCCCCTGCCCGCTTCTACTGCTGTGTGCTCACAGCACCTCAGGCCGGCGGGCGTACGGACCGGCCGCCAGTCACGAGTCGGCCTGACGGCGCCCTGCTCGGGTGCCCGCACGACACTCGTGCTGGACCGTGCGCGGGGCAAGACTGTGTCGAATGTCACCACGGAGGATAACGCGGAGTCGTTACCGAATTCCTGACCTCTCCTTGATGCCATCGCTCAGCCATGCCCACTGATAGCTGGAAGAGCTCTCGCCTAACACAACTCAAAAGCGTACACATTTTGGTCCCCATTCGAGAGACCGTCGCCCAAAGCTCCACCGCATCGAACCAGGCCCGCCGCTCAGCATGTAGGTATACCAACAACACTGGTGCGAGAACTTTACAGCACCGACACCTGGCAAAGAAACTATATTTCAGATAGAAATTATTCACACACAACCACTTTGACTGACGTACAAAACGCTGCAAAATGAAACCAATGAGATGGTAACACTGGCCTGTATGTACAACAAGCATACAGACTGGTAGCAGTCAAGTTTCACCATCCGCAACTTTGTACATAGAGAGGATGCGCACCTTTTCTCCCAAAACCATCACCAAACAGCGGAGACCGACACAGAAACGAACTCCTCGTCCGGTCACAAAAAACTCAGCGAGAAGTCCTTGTATTTGTTCGACGTGCAGACTTCGATAAACTTGCCGCAGCCCCCGATCGTCAGCAGCTGCAACATGGAGGCGCGCATCAGTCGCATGGCAGAGGTCCGTGAAATGGCGGTCCGCGCGGAACGACGGCCAGCGACCCAGCTGCGGCGGAAGCGGCCGCTTCCTGCACGTCACCCCTCGCGTGCACCGCTGCAGTGCCGCACCGTTAACAACGCCCGGTGCGAGGGGCTGCCCGACGCTCAGTATCATAGCGCCGAACAGCACAGATAGGTCAGCCCCTGCCGGTACCGCCGCCACAGAAGCGGCCGTCAGGCATCAGCTCCTTGAAGTGTGGCCCTGCACCTTCCAGCAGAGTTCACGAGGGCACCGCCGCTGCCCATACAGGGCAGCCGTGGCGATGATTTGGTGTTAAAGGGCCTCGTCTGCTTCAAATGGCGATACAACACCAATAACAGCGCGGTCGGCACACACCGGCCCGTGCTGTAGGTCGAAGGTCAGGGGGCGGTGAGGCCCGGTCAGAGCGGAAAAGCTGTCTTCTTGTTGGCTTTATCCCCCAGAGAAACATCTCCTCCGCGTCGTCCGCTTCCAAAAACCCATCCACCGCTTCACCATCATGACCATCCACGATTTTGGGTGTGGGTGTATGTGGCATCTTCCTTCATCAAGGGGAATTCAACTAGACACTGCCTTCTTCTGCACCGGATTGGCCGGTCTATCAGACCAGCACCGCCAAGTGGTATTGGTACTCTGGCACCGTCTTAATCCATGGCGTTACGATTAAAAACATACAAGTGACAAAATTTCACGTCCTAGGGATTTTATTAGGTTGAAAACTCATTTCAATCCAACAAACTATGGTTGTTCCTGGAAAAGGGAAGCATCCATGAATTAAAAAATGATACAAGTGACAGGGAAGCCGGAAAGTGGGTGACCAAGCATTATATCGGGTAATCAGAGACTAGCGCCAGGTAACAATTTTGTACAAGAGGAATTTGTAAAAGAGGAATAATTAAACAGACGGCCATGTGACATCTGTCATGCGCAATGGTGCCGGGCGGCGGCCCTGAAGTCGATGTTACAGTGCTGATTGCAATGTCATGCTGAAATGCTGATGCAAACAGTCTGCGACCGCGTGTGAAGTCCTCGGCCGCGATCAACGGCAGGACAACTAGACTGTCGGTATTCTGCTCAGAAGACGTGCCTCATTAAAGACAGCGCTATATCTTCACTGTTAGGAGCTGCTAGGCCAAACTGCCGTCGGTACTAAGTACGCCCTCGCCTGCACGCGACTTCGCCGTCTCATGACACAATTGTGTGTTTTGAGGGATATTGCCTGACGTTACACACTTTCCATATAACTTTCGGTGGTTCGATGCCGGATAGTGATTAAAGCACCTGGCACGAAGCAAAAATCCATCATTAAAATGCAGTGCGCGAGTTATCGGCTGGTCCCAAAAAAACCTCGAGGTCTTAATAAAACAATAAAAAATCCCATAGTTTGCTTAATACCCTCCCCCCTCCCCACACCCACCTTTTCCTAGACGTTTTTTTTTCTGGCTGCGCCGAATTCTCTTGAATTTCTGATATTAGAATGGATTCAGCAACTGAGCACTGGGTGAAGATGAAATGCACTGTGACACATTAAGTTCCAGCCCACACCGCGTCGCGCTCCAACCACCAGTCCAGTTCCAGCCTACAACCGGCCGGCGGGGCTGGGCTGGCTTAGGTCAGGTTAAGTCACGTTCGGTTGAGCCAGGCCAGGTCAGTTCAGGTCAGGCCTGGCAAGGTCAAGCCAGGTCAGTTCGGGGCGCGGCGCACCTTGCTCGGCTGGGCGCGGGCCAGCACGGTGAAGACGGCCGTGCAGTCAGTGGGGATGACGGCGCTGGTCTCGCCGCTGAAGCTGAACTGATGCAGGTCGGCTGCGTCGCCGCCGGCCAGCACCAGACCGTCGTGGAAGCGTGCCACGTGCGCCACAGCCGGCAGGTCACAGACGGCCGCCATCGTCAGCGAGCGCATGTGCCAGAGCGCTAGCCGCGGCCCGCCGCCGCACACCTGCGCGCATCACGCCGACCGCGTCAGGTCACGTGGCGTCACGCGGACGGCTCCCGCGACTGACGTGTAGCGACAGGTCGTCACGCGTGACAGCAGGTGACGTCATGTACGGCATACCTGATCCATGGATGAACTGTGCATTGACACACCGATAGGATGCCACACCAGGCGCGAAGAAGAGGGCATGTCACAGTCCTGCAAAGACCGTTGATAAACCGGCTACAGCGGTATTCGCCTCAACTGGGCCCGCGGCAATGACCACAGTTCGCTTAAGCACGAATAGTGTTCAAAGCCCACAACATTGCAGTCTGTGCAGATAAACGTATGCCTTGAGTCGTGCGATAGAACCAAATTGCATGACAAAATAAACAAAACACAAGAAAAACTGCAGCAGCGATTCGTGACCAGTGGGATGGTCCGGTTTATCATGCACGTTCTCAAAGTTCTTCGACTCAAGTTTCCAACCGCACTCCTTTGTCGTCCACTGGTTCCCACCAGCACGCACTACATCAAACAGCCGGCTGCAAGCCTAGCGGAGCGGCGGGATGTGACTGCCGCACCGCACCGCGCCATCGCCACAACACGCCTCCTCACCATCCAGTCGTCTGTGACGTCCATGGCGCCGATCCAGCGGCCACGGCCTCGCTCCAGCTCCGGGTGGGCGTGCGGCTCCACCTTGGACGTCTCCTTGTTCTGTCGCGTGTCCCAGAAGCGCACGGTGCCGTCCTCGCCGGCGCTGACGCACTGGTCGCCCCTGGTGGAGTGGGCGGCGCGCCGGTCAGGCGGGCCGCCCTTGGCGGGGGTGGCGGGCGGCGGGCGGCGGGCGGCGGGCGGCGGGCGGCGGGCCGACGCCGACTCCCGGCGGCCAGCGGCAGACATCGACTCCCGTGGTCCGCAGCCTCTCACGCCGGCCGTCCAGCTGGGACACACGACACACCAGACGCGCGCGTCCGAGCTCATGCCTCGCCACCGCCAGCCCAACGCGCCGCACGGCTCGGCCACCGCCCAGGGCACGATCAGTGATGCCGGTGAGCTGAGCGTGCGGCAGCGCGTCGCTTGCGGGGGGCGACGCTCCGAGCCTCACCTGACCCGCACGGCGTGGACGTAGTCGGTGTGGCCGCGTAGCGAGGCCACCTTCATGCGCGTCTCCAGGTCGAAGATCTGCACCTCGCGGCTGCCCGAGCCCACGTACAGGCGGCCGTCCTGGATGTCGATCGAGTTCACCTCCGGCTGTGTCAGACTCTCCCTGCCGGAAGAAGAGCGCGGATAGGATTCACGTTTTGCCCATGGCGCGATGAGCATGCAGGCACCGTTGTGTCCAGCGCCGCGCAGCGTAAACTGGACTTCTTGAAAGGTCCGCGCAGACACATCGGCTAAAAAAGCAGCCGCGCAACAAAATGGTTTCAAAACTCGATAGGGCATGGACGGGACTGAGAGTGAGGCACCGATTCGGCCAGTTCGGGCCGGGTCAGATCATGTGACACACGTGAGCAGAGGTGCGGCGCAGACTAGGACAGCTTCTTAGGAGGCCAGGTAACCGGTTTCTGTCCTTACCAGTATAAAGGGGCTCGGATGAAGCGCACTACCGCAATGGCATTAACTGTTTGGTGACTGGTCCATGTGAACCAACTGTATTTTGTTTCACGTCAAACGCTTCCCGTCACAATGCCTGAGCAGGCAGACCCGCATCCACAGTAACGTAGCGCGAGACAATGGCTGATTCGACACGTCAACAACAAAAAAAACCGGACTGTTCAGCTTCGCAGCTAAATTTGAGCAAACGTGATACATCATTCTCTTCAAAATGACAACCCTAATGATCGAATACGTAAAACTTGGGGCTCGCGTCCCACAACGCCGGATGAGACAGGGGCATCAGTGACAGGGGCTTCGCTTTTCATGCGTCTGTGACGGCAACACGGGCCCCTTCCCTCTGGCGGCCAGCCCCTTGGCGTTTGAATCAAAACAGGACAAAGCCGGGGAGGTCTTCAATCCGTTTCGTAATTCGGTTTGGTCATACAACGCTCGCGTTTGTCCACTCGGCTGTTTCCGCAGGACATCAATTATGAGTGGCCACAGATCGCTGAAGGCACGTCATGGCTCCCGACGTCTGGCTGGAAGGTTACTGCCCGCATACTGGCCGAAGGTGTCTCTGTCGAACAACACGTGTAGCACAGTCAGCTGTGACGATCGTCATTATTATAACGTTCGTCATGTGATACGAGTGATCAAAACAGCACATTTTTACGAAGTGAGGGATGCGAGACATGTGTTTTACGGATGGACCAGTTGTTCGGGCTATCATATGGTGCATCAGTATGTCCACGTCTACGTTTCGGATAGTTATTTCTCCGGTCATCATCATGTGCCATGAATCTTGAGAGGGATTGTATTACCTATATCTGAGGACGCCATGACATCTGATAACAGATAACGAGGTCAACTCCTTCGCATAACTCATAACGCATGGTGGCGGCCGGGACATTCATTGGCTGAAACGAGGTGCACATGCCAACACCTGCAAGACGACAGTCCGGACAATGATTACGGTTGAAACCGTACATAGCGCGAATAAAAATGGATGTTTAGCCCCCCCCCCCCTCCCCCAAATTGTACGTGCAAACTACGGGTCAAGACCCAGTGATGCTTGTTCACATTTACGCTCGAATAAGACAGCAAACGGGGTACCATATAGTGTCAATTTAATGCAAGGGTAATTATACGGGTATGTACTGGTGCAAATTTATTGGCAAATTGTAGTCGGCTATCACGCACCATGCATCATCGTCTGCCCACCAACTTACCCTGGGGGTCACTGTGAAGTAGAGCAAATAGTCTGTGCTCGTTATGGAAAGCGGCCAGCAAAAATTCAATGTGCTTCGCTGAGCAGGTTATTCGGGAATCCGGAATTACCTGAGGAAGCTGCACAAGCGAAATATATTGGCCTTTTGGCCCTTTTCTAAGCAGGGGCTGTTTCAGGTACTACTTGATATTCATTTTAATTAAGGTAAAGGACATGTGTAATCACTTTAGCAAAGAATTGACATGAAACGTCGTGTTATACTCACCTTTACTCGTAAAACTTAATGCGATTTTGCAATATGTGCCAGCGTATCACTTCACGGCCCTGACGGGTCCAGTTTATCGCTTGAATAATGAGCTCTGGCGTTGCTTTAAACTACTGACCTGTCGGACTCGATTGGGATATTCCACGCCAGTTTGTAGTTCTTCTTCGTGACGTCGCTCCATTTATATGCCTGTAATATAATTGCGTGCAACAACTCATCCGAAAGGTCAACATTCACAGCGCAGCGGAACATTTGCAACGCAAGTAATTGGTGTTTAACAATGCTCACTCAACTCGCAACTGGCAAATGTTCATAAATCTTACAGTTCGTGAACAATTGAGTAATTATCCCCCTCTCTCCGATACCCAGTGCAGTCTGGGCAACAAGAGGTACGGGGTCGATTCCCAACTGTGTACCTGCCTTTTTTTTGCCACGACGAGTGGCATGTCATATGGCCTCAGCAGCTGAGTGTATCGTAAAGTCCCAATCACACGAGTTATTAGTACAGGCCTCTCCCGCAGAAGTCGATGCTGTACTGAAGTAAATAACACAGGTTGCAGGTGGCTAGCTCATGATGCAATACAGTGTGCGTACGGTGAGTTCATCAATGACAATTGATCTCCTCAAGACCTCATTGCTTTGGACAACGGTGGGCAGCATACCTGAAGACCTGGCGTTTTAGTGACGGAAGCTGCATCACCGCCCGTGTACGACGTGCCCACCGTTTGATACCATGGATAAGGAAACTTACTGCAGCCCCCACAAGCAGTAGCAATCTCCCCCACTCGCATATAACGTAGTCCCCACTCCCCAAAAATGTACTAAGCAGGCAGGCGATGACGTTCGGAGTTTAATGAGCGCACCGGCTACTGAGGGCATTTCGCGCTCGAACGCACGACTTGCTGAGCGTTATACTGCTAAAACCGTGAGCATGTTACATGCAGATTGGTTGTGCCCAGAACGTTCAGCAATCGATGAAGTTCTATCCCAGGACGTTTTCCGATTAATGACGTCGGTGGCCTCCCGTTCGGTAGACCGTTGTCGAACGTCGACCAAGACATGGCTGGCAGTCGGCATTCGCCGCATCTTCCGCATGAGGGAAATTCTTGAGCGTTCAAATATGTGCGTGCTGTACGTATGCGTGTGCGTGCGTGTACGTAGGCGTGTGGGACTTTTCTTTAGGTGATTTCAGGAATGATGCCTGATGACGCGATGATGGGATAAGAGCGAGCAAGAACAAGAGCAAGAGCAAGAACAAGAGTAAGAGCAAGACCACGCGCAAGAGCCCGTGCGCAAGCGAGGAACAGAAATGGAGACAGAGACAGAGACAGAGACAGAGACAGAGACAGAGACAGAGACAGAGACAGAGCAGAGACAGAGACAGAGACAGAGACAGAGACAGAGACAGAGACAGAGACAGAGACAGAGACAGAGACAGAGACAGAGACAGAGACAGAGACAGAGACAGAGACAGAGACAGAGACAGAGACAGAGACAGAGACAGAGACAGAGACAGAGACAGAGACAGAGACAGAGACGAGCAGAGGACGAGAGGACAGAGAAGAGACAGAGAGCGAGACAGAGACAGAGACAGAGAGAGAGAGAACAGAGAAGAGAGCAGAGACAGAGAAGAGAGAGAGACAGAGAGAGACAGAGAGAGAGAGACAGAGAGAGAGAGAGAGAGAGAGAGAGAGAGAGAGAGAGAGAGAGAGAGAGAGAGAGAGGAGAAGAGAGAGAGAGAGAGAGAGAGATGAGAGAGAGAGCAGAGAGAGAGAAGAGAGAGAGAGAGAGAGAGAGAGAGAGAGAGAGAGAGAAGAGAGAAGAGAGAGAGAATATGAGAGTGAGACGAGAGACCATTGCGTGGTGACGCTGACCTGGATGTGCCCGCTGACGCCGGTGACCAGGTGCCGCTCGTCCGAGGTCATGCTGTAGATGGGCGCCTCGCCCGTGGAGAAGCGCAGCTCGGGCCGGCGGAACTCACGAATCGACTCCTCGTTGGAGGACAGCTCCACGATCTTCTTAACGCTGCAGCACGGCGAGCCGACCATCGGTCAGAGGACCAGCGAACACGAGAACACAGTCCACCGAGCCCGAGCGGGCCGCAATCGTCAGCGACGCGTCTGAGCTGGGCGTCTGCTGGCGGAAGACAGCGGCAGTGCGACTGCGGCGCACTGTCGGATATGGCGGAGCAGAGTAGCACCAGTCTGCACCTACCAGTGTTAATAAACAGGGACAACGGCTTCAGTGGGGGGAAAACGGTCGGTGGAAACGGCAGGGGCTACACCGTTACAATAGGAGCATGGTCGAGAGCACAACGGAATGCATGAGACACACGTACAGTTCGATTTGCTTTACCCGGCAAACAACAATCAGGAAGCATATGGCTAACTGGCTGATGAAAGGGGGGGGGGGGAGAACAACCTTCCACAGCCAAACTGGCACAGCCTACTTCCTCTGTAATTCACCATTTATTCAAGTTATCATCAAAAGCGCCACTGTTTGCAAATCGCACGGTAGCCAGCTATTGTGTGGTTGTTGGAGGGGGGGAGGGAGGGGGCTCCATTTTAGACTATCTCAGTACTATTTCCTTGGCATGGTATAATTGTCAATATACCCTTCTCCACCAGAATAGTTCACCAATCTCTAGAACATCTCCAATCAAACAATGCCATCAAAAATATAATAGAAAATCATCAAAATAATCTCTAAACAATCTCTAAGACATCCGCATCCACTTCATTTACCATCGGACATCTAATTACGCATCAACATGTGACATGCACTAACACACGAGGTAGCCACTGACAGCAATTCGCGGAGCTAGGGTGGATGGCTGGTGCACACGGTATGGAACAGCTGGTTTGTGCGGGAGCCTTGGCGTTTGGAGACGCCCTGGCAACGTGGGGTAACATGACCCGATCGGCATGGCGGACGTCCACGGGTCAATGTTGCTCGCGGTGATGATGTATGATGGCTGATAGCCTGTCGTTCTTTACAAAGACGAGCTCAAGAGTCAAACCATGGAATTAACCTGGCATTGCACTGCTAATATATATCAGTAAACATTAACATTATCGTGTAGTTACATGACTCGAAAGCCGCAGCTACCTTGCATGCAGCGTTCTTTCACGAGCTTGGTCTGCTCCAGCATGCATGCGTCTTTGAGGTGTAGGGAAAATAATTGGTCCTTAGCGTTGAGTGACTGGTGATTGGTAACATGTGCACCCCCTATGCACTCGAGATATTGGCAAGAGGTACAAACCCTCAATCGAACTTTCCCTATTCAATGGCGGGTTCTGGAGGGAAATGGAAAAGAGTTCAGCTATGTCTGAAATTATTATGCATGCATTATCCAGCTAATCATGACATATTGAGCATGGGTAACACGACTAACATGTTGTCATGGCAGAGGATACGAGTGCTGATGATATTTTTCAAGCTGATGTGTAGTTGCATGGATTTGTATATCCCAACACAGGATATAGAAAACAGTTTTTGAAAAGGTTTATGATGTTGATTAAGAATGAATCAAAAGCAAAAAGGACATTGGCAATTATTTGGTTTCCACTAACCTTGAAACTGTTTGGAAAACTTTTCTTCCCTTTTGGGCAAGGGAGCGACCTCGGCCACATTAGCTTTGCTTTATTTTGATCGCCATGCTCTCAAATTGCAACAGCCTGATTCATCTGTGGCATCAGTTATTCCTTCTATTAACACGGGACAGTCCGTACAACCACAGGGACATCGCCATATCGACATGGTATCCGTGTTGCGCTTGAGATCCCTCCCATTATCAGGCCCCGGAGCGGCCTCTGTGCAGGTCACGTATCTGAAATTTACACACGTTTCGTAGCAAAAAGATGTTTGAGGAAGTTCAAAATTTCAACGACACACTCCAAACTGTTATGTGGAAACTAGTCAACAACTCGAGCGGGGGGAGGGCCATTCCCATTCCAGGCAGGGCTACGACCAAAACAGATACTTTTGTCCACACCTTAGGCCTCTCGCAGTTCTTAATTACAGGTATTTTGGCCTACACGTCCAATTTTGGACATGTGGGCCATATTCGACGTGTAGGCCTATTTTGTAAATGGGTCTCCTGTCCTGTCGGTGTTGACTGGCACGACTTATTTCCTAACACACTTTCTTCGACCCAATCCATTCACCAGTGGCGCTGAACAAGGCATTCGGTCCCGCTGGCTCTGCCGGAGGGCCTGCCACCGTTCAGTCAGGGGCTCCCGCTTCCCACCCGCCTGCCGGCCCTGCCTGGAGAGAGCTCGATGCCATCCCAGACACAGCTCTCCGCTTTCTCACCGCCGTGTGGCCCAGCGTCTGCCAGCGCTGCAAAAGAACATGCTGCAGTCCAGCTGCAGCCTCCCGCCTCTCAGTCGTCATTTGGCGTTATCCACGTTGGCCTGCCCGAGACTTAACCGCCGCTCAGCTGTAGCCCACAGTGACTTCCCAGCTGCCGCCTTGCATCAATGCTGGTGGTGCGGCCCGTGCGATGGGCTCTAGTTTCAGAGGTTTTGACTTTCCATATTCTCTGGTGGCCTGATCCGGTTAGAATCGATGGAGGTAGAAAGTCTGGGGTGTTCCGAAGGGAAACCCCCAGCCAGAAACATGACACGGACGCTGTTATTGGGGCATTAAGGTTCTCAAGAACGACTCGCTGCTCAGCCACCACCAGGGTCCAACGCTGCCGGCTAAGCCGAAGACTGTACCGAAAACCCATCCTCGGCCTTCCCTCCCTGGTCAGCTGGCCCCTCCCCTCCCCTCCTGCTTCCCTCTCTGTTCAGCTGCAGCTTCCCTCCCTGCTCAGTTGCTCCCCCCCCCCCCCCCTGCTTCCCTCCCTGCTCAGCTGCGGCGTGCTTTGGTCCTGCCGACGGACTAGCCGTCGCCCAGTTGTTACCGGTTTTCTGCGCTGATGACTTTGTCCTGGGCGTTTCCCCAAGATACAACGCTAGATATGTCGTCCAGCATACAACAGCGTCTGCTGACCTCAATGATACTAGGAGCTAATACACTATGGAACACTGGTCTGAAGCAGTCCCAGCTACATGCAACGCTGACAGGTGCAGGCAAGGGGTGCCGAAAAGATAGCAAACGTGCAGCGCGAACAGAATCGACTGCACAGTGAAGCGTTTCTATCCGCTAGTACGGTCGCCAGTGGAACTGGTGTTTTGTGAAAAGGAAACAGATCTAGATAGAAAGGAGCAGCCATGACTTGCGATGATGGCTTGGAGTTTCGGGTTGGGGTTTTAAACGCAAATGGTCATGCAGCACCCATACCATGGCCTACTAGCAGATTAACTCTTGTTTGGACGCTGCCGGCAACAAAAAAAAAGACGACTTAGCTATTTCTGTACGCGAGCCCTTGTTGAGCCTGAAGTCTACCAACGACCAAGCTATCCCGAACGTCCCCGACTGGTGCTGAAAGGGAAGACACAGAGCGGAATGGATCGACGAAAGCAAAGACCGACTCGACTGTCATCTCAAACCACTTCCAGGCCTTCGGCCAGCAGAGACTTTCAGCACGCGGTAGAGGCTACGTGCATGACATGCGGTCACAATGTACAAAACATTATGACGACTTGCTTGCGTCACAACATGAAATATCCCAAAAAAGCTTAAAGGGAATGTTCTACATTTGAAGATATTGAGGCAAACATCAGATAATGATGAAATAAACTCACTTTTAACTATTGATATACTTGTAAGTGGAAAAGACCGCTCTATGTGACACAAATTCTCTCTTTAGTACCTATACTCCTCCATAAGTCATTGCTTGATGACGCCATTATACCCTGCACAACATTGATTAAGAGCCAATTGACAGCACTTATATTTGGAAATCGTGCTGACGAATGTCACATATGAATGACTCAAGAATTATGATCCATGGACCTTGGTAACTTTGAAATAGCCTCCCTAAAATAGACTGCACATCTTCATGTGCATCTACCTAAGAAACTACAGTGGTTCAGGTATTGAGAAGGGTAGGGCTCTGAACTGCACCAAATGATCTTCAAAATGGCTTTTTCAGGTCAAAACCTCATACAAATATGGCACATTCAGCCACTTGAAGACCCCTGATGAGCCCCAAAGCTGATCCCAAACATTATCCTAAACTGGGTGTTTTTAAATAGGTGAATATCAGCAAAGAAGTGGAAAACCTGCTGCCTCTGTTGATGGGGCTAAAATATGGCCCATCACATCCAATGAAAAATGAGGGCAGTCAGTACTGTTAGCATGACCATCTAACTGGCTGGTAGTGTTCACACAACCAGATCCTTGGCATATTGATATTGTCTCATCCATCACAGAGACAAACTGACTCCGCTGCAACATGTCTGTTGTATTTTTGTCCATTGTTTTTTGCATATGTTGGGGTAGCTTTTACTTTTACTAAATAAGTGCAAACATTTTAATTAAGCTCATTCCTAGAAGTGGCAACTAAAAATGTGCTTGATGTTTTGTCATAAATCACATGCACTTACAAGAGAAAGACCAACAAGCTTGAGATTGGAAGAGCATAGAGATCAATTGAATAAAGTGTGTGTGGGGGGGGGGGCAGTCTATGAAGCCAAAAGATTGCAAATGCTGACCACATCATAATAGTGGGGGCAAATACTCTGAGTATGCTATTCAACTGCTCAGCCTGATGCTAGTAATGTTCTAACAGCAGACAACTCATGATACAAAAATCAGTGCATATCTTAGTTGTTGCCTTCAGTTATAAGCTTTGCACATACCTGCACTTGCAATCAGCTAATAGCCTCTGTCCCATCAAAATAAGCAGATGTCTGCATCTAAACAGCTGCATTCCCTGGTCCACTTGCACTATTGTACCTGCATCAAATCTGCTCATGCTTTTTAACCTCATGGAAACTTTGGTCAGACCTGTGTGCTAGATGTATGAAAAGCCTATATGTTGATTGTGTTCAATGTGACTAACTGACTGGTGTACAAATCAAGTTTGTGCCACAAACAGCACAGGGTTATGACAAAAATACATTCCAAAAATTATAAAATGCACATGATGTTTTTCCTTTGCATGGCAGCTGTGTAATATTCAGAAATGTACAGCTGAGGTAACATCCTGCTGGACCAGGAAATTGGTGTCAGCTCTGCTATCCACAGGGAAAAATGTCATTCTGAAATCAATGTTTTTTAAGAAACCCATCTCATGCTTGTCTCCAATGCAAAAACCACCCACCTTGAAACACTGTGAATTTCCAGATGCACATTTCTGCCTTTGAAAAGCAGGGTTGGCCTGGCATTAACTTACTCATAAACAGCCACATTGCCGAATCCATCGCCAGCTGCAAGGTGAGATCCACAGTCTGAAAAGGTCTGGCAAAACACTGTTGTATACAGCTCCTTCTTCATGTTGCAATGACCCTGAAAAAAGGACACAGGATTAATTAAAAACATCCATGCTTCCAAGCAATATACACAGTGATCAGTAATGCAAATAAACTCTACCTGTACAACTTTTTAGAAACTTTTTGATGCATGCATGGGTTCTGGGCCTGCAAGACCTCTTTCATCCTTAGGGTATCTGACCTGATTGAGATCTCTCTCAAGCTTCTGCCTTACCAATATCTTATTCAGTCTAATCAAGGGGTCATCTTTTATTATTTCTGCATTGAATATGCATTTCTCTGCTTTTTCAATCAGAGGTCAATCTAATGTTGAAGAGTGAGGCATATATATATATATATATATATATATATATATATATATATATATATATATATATATATATATATATATATATATATCAATTTCCCTGAGCATTTTTATTTCATGGGTTTCTGGTATCCACACCAGCAGAATCCATCATCTGATATCAATCAGTTCAGCAGAACCCAACCTGTGTGGCACTAGTTGTATGTGCCCTATCCTAACATCCAATCATAAAATTCTGACTTGATAGCAGAACTTTGTGGCTGAAAGTTTTGATGAGCCACAGTGTTTGGCTTGGTCTGTCCTGCCACTGCCCTATCTGGCATTGAGCAGCCACTGCCACCAGCAGCATGTACCCCAGCCATGGGCAAATAATGAGTGCTGAGGCAACCTAAACCCACATGCCTTGGAGTGGATATGTTGTCAGGCAGGTGCTCTAGATCATTGAGCTGCAGGGACAGACTATAACATTTACATTTTTACATAATTGCATAACTACATTTTGAATGCACTGCACTGAAAAACAATTATTAGATCTTTGGTAGATAACTTTAGGGCCTACATATTGAATACCACATCATAGTTGTCATTTTTATAACAAGACATTCAGCTAATGCACCATGAGCTAGTACAAAGGCTGTTGTGATAATGGCATAAGGTAGTGGCAGGCAGGAGGCTTCCATGGAATCCATGTTACAGATAAAATTCTGCAGAAACAGAAATATTGCAGGTTGATGATCATTCTGTACAAAATTCTGTAGTTCCTCAACCAAATTAAAAACTGAACATAACAAAGCTGTTAATAAGATGACTAGATCAGAGGTAACAGTTTGCAAAACCATTCAGCTGGAGAGAAAGCAAAAAAGCAAGGAAAAGTGGTAAAATTACCTTCAACTTGAGGAAATACATATTTTCCCCAGGTTTGACCCACCCTATCCTCAGAGACTGAGCATAGCTTGAGTCTCACCAAATGAATATGAAGCTAAGCCATGTCTAAATAAAACCACTAAGCTACCTCATCATCTGGATGATATAATTTTGTTGATGTAGGCAACTAGCCAACCATCCACCATGATTTTGCTTGCTCTGACTCCAAGCCACTTTTTACTTGCACTAGTGATGGTGGCTACCAATAGGTGGTAAAGCAAGCAAGATGATGCAATTGCTATTCTTACTTATGCCCTCCGAGACTTTTCAGATCAGAATGCAAGCTTTATACAACTTAATGTGATGTTATGCTTTTTGAACTATACTATGTAATGCAAGCCAATTCCTGCTTTAACTTCACATAGGATTGACTAAGCCTGAAAATCCACAATTGTTATGGAGTACCCCCAAAACCAGAATACACCCATGACCTTTGGTCAGTGAATACCCAAATTTCTTAAGCCAAGTGCACACCCAATCTGAATCTTGGGACCCTGCATTCACAAATAAGTGCCAAGCATGCCTGGTTAGGCCTGTTGCTACCTTTATGCTGTTGGCATTACATAGCTTCCAAAAGTCTTGATATGAAGTTTTCCACTCATGCTTCGAGCAAATCCATGTGGTGCAATGGCAGTACAGCTGAGTTACACAATGGGCATCTTGAAAGCCCACCCACTGTGCTGGATGCCCACTTGACATCAGCATACTGAACTTTGAGCTCACGTGCACTAAACTCACACCGGGCCACGCTGTATTTGTCATATCGAGAAATGCATACCACGTATGTTAGCCTATAATTCCCTTGAAAAATCACGGATCCTTGAAACGAAGTGAAAAATGCCGAGTACAACCACCCCACACCCCACCCACAAACCTCAGCGCTGTACCAAATGCTCTGCTGTGAAACTCGTCACAAACATACATTTGACGCATTTGCCGAAAGTCCTGCCTAAAGCTTCACAGCTGTTAATTTGAGCAAAGTGAGGTACCACGTTGGAAGAAAAAAAGATAGTTTTTCTTTTGTAAGTCCCCTCAAAAACCAAGGTTACATGGCAAAAGCGCTTCCAGGGCTGTCAGGTTGGGGGGCATACTCATAATTTTGATTTCTCCTTTCTCACGATTTCCCATTCCTTTCAGTCAATATGCATGGAACAGCAGTTTCTATCGAAAATTCCTGAATATTTTTCATAAACACTTTTTAGCAGGTGACCCCACGTCCGTTAAGAGCACGGTGACAGCTGCTGTTCCGTTCGCTGGCCGTGCCTGGCCGAACCCCACCAGAGAATAATGCGCACCCCCCGTGTTTTTTGTCCTTGCCGGAGGGTGAACGGGAATAGCGCGTGTAGGGGCGCCAGACGGGGGGTGCATGTGGGCGCCATCTTTCTCTCAAATGGGGGTCGCAGAGGTTGGATAGCTCAAAGGTAAGCGTTCCAATCTGAACTCGTCTATTGGTGGGAGGGGTAGAGGCACGCCAATATGAGGCTGATAAAATTTGTGATTGTTGTGATGGGGGCATGACGGTGGCGAGGTGCATGGGAACGTTGAGTAGCATGGTCACCGGCGGAGTGAAAAGGTGGTGCATGCACGGCTTTTGATAATTATATGCATGCTGTTTTGGCCTCTGTGCATTGAGCTACTAAGTTCAGGTGGGGTTAAAACCTCCCCCTAATCTGTGGAGCATATGGCATTCAGCTTAGTGGGGTGCTTATTCAGGTTGTTATCAGTGTAATGTTTTGTGTGTGCATGCTTAAGTTGGATTGACTATGAGCTTGAGGTGAGTGTTGGAATTGCTGATGGTATGAAGTGATGAAATGAAGCAGGGTATGGCTCAAATGTGAAAGGGCTTTTATTGACACAAACCAAAACATGGTCTATTTTAGATTTGCTCTCATGCTTACCTTAACTTTCTTTCTGTCACAGTTCAAAGAATTCCTTGCCCAGGTACTATTGTTTTAGAGACTTGATGATATGCAAATCAACCTATTGGTAGGTAGGTATGCTCCCATTGTATTGGGCCTTCTGATACTACTGATTGGAGGCCCAAGCTCACAGTGCACACTGCTGATGTGTGAGCTGTTTTGAGTAAATATTAGGCTAATTGAGATCAAGATGGGTTTGACATAGCAACCAATCTGCTTGTCCCCACCTTATTTTCCTCAAAAATAAAAATCAATGTGCCCACACTGAACTGGCACATGGATTTCATTCTGGTTGTCAGGTATGGCTTTTTCAGGTCAGGTTTTTTATCTGATATGATAATGGAAGGCATTGTTTGTGGACCTGGTATTTTGCATAGCTCCATGTGGGACCTGCAAAGAATATCATCTGGTATGAAAATTTAAAAACTGCTAGAAAGCCCTTAGAACTAGGCAAGGGATTAGTTTTACAGGATAAATTATGGGTTAGAAAACAAAATGGCCAAGTTTTTCCCCCTTAATACACTAATAATGGGTTCCTCCATAAGCTTGTTTGTCAGTTAAGATGTGAAGCATAATTTAATTTAAAAAATTGAAAATAAAACAGTAAGAACATTAGAAGCACTTAAACAGATTGGAATTAAGTTGTGTTCTTATAAGTCAACCAACAGCATGACACCTGTTTTGGATGAGGAGTGTTTGTAACTTAATTGAGGTGCCTCACCTTGCATGAAGGGTGGTGGAATGGTGCTGTGGAAATGTCTGATCCAGTCTATGCATGTAACCAGTGCATGAAACTAGTGAATGTAATGTGATTGAAGTACTGCACTATCAAAACCAACATGATGTTGATATCTTCTATTGCCTTATGGGCATTGGGCACTCTACAAACTTGATGGCTGACCAGCATCAGGAGGTTAGGTAATAATCCGTCTGACAAGGTAGCACTACCGGTTAGATGTGTTTGAGTGCCTTATAGTATTGTGGTCACTTGAATGCAACCATGGTCTCAGAAATGTGGAGGTAAAACAGCTGAAGGCAAACTTAAACCTGTTAGATGCTTGTGATAAGCTCATTGGATGCAACCTGCTGCTATCTTTTGAATGAAAATGTGTAGTGCTAGATTTCAATGTATAAGTATTATTAACTTCTCATGTAAAAACAAAAAAGTTTGTGGTATGTGAGCCTGTCTACTTTTTATAGAACAAATCCATTTGATTGAAGTAAGAAGGGTTCTATACATGCTTGTGGTGTATGGCAGTTGTTAAGGGAGCCTGCACGCCAGGCAAGTGGCAGTTGCGAAAGAGAGTTGGCCTGGACAAGGTGGCGCGTGGCAGGGGGCGTGAAGTGTTCGGATGCCTGGGATGTTGTATTATTGCTTTTGTTGTTATTGCTAAGTGTTGGGCAAATACTCACAGTAACACCTGACTTAGTGTTTGGTCAGGCTGTGAGAGCAGACGATACTACAATGCTGTTCGCTGTCAGGTTTTGGTTGATTGACCAGAAGATATATCACCAGTTTGTGTTTTGCTTTTGTTTTTAGGTATATATGTCTATCAGTGATGTTGCAGTATTCTTCCCTGCAAAGTGAAATATGATCTGTGGCATTTCTTCCTAACAGTGTATTTCCACATGTATAGTATCCAGCATGTTATGCAATGTGTTACAGCATGTCTGTTGTGTCAAGTTGCATCTGCTTATCCACCTGCATTAATTGTGCCATGAGTTGTGATCCCCGTCTTGACCTGTGACCTCCCTTTCAGCGGTGGGGCCTGTGATGGCATCTGGACAGATGCCTCCGGTGGGGCGGGGCCAGTGCTGCATGCTCTGCTACAGTCCCTTGTATGGCACTGGACTCAGCATATACCACTCCAGGACCTACCATGCTGAGAAGAGCCTCTATGCTAAGCTGATGGAGGTCACAAATGTAAGGGGTTAGGCAGTTTTGGTATGTGAAGTTTTGTTAGGGATGAGTTGCAGTTTGGTGCTTTTGTGCAGCAAATTCTCACAAGGTTTGAAGTTTGTGTGCTTGTTGTGGAATGAGGTCATGTCTGTTATCTGTGTACTTGTGTGGGGCAAGGTTATGTTTGTTCATCTTTGTGCTTGCTTCTGCTTCAAGGTTATGCAGTTTTGGATTGATTGAGCATCATGTTGTTTTGCAGGCAATTGACACAATCTCATGATTTAGCAGCCCAATGAGCAAGAAGAATATGAAAGTTGATGACATAAAATATTTAACTTTAATCGACCCTCATATGTCACCTGATTGTTGTATAAGTGGTCTGGGACAACAGTCATGGCCATTACAAAGTTCAACATTTGGAAATAAGTGTGAAGAACAGTGATTAACTCAGAACAATGACATACTTGCTTTTTGTCCTGTTTTTTAGTCATTATCCCATGCTCCATTTGTTCCACCCATGTTACCTTTTCACTCCACAAGCCACCTTCATCATGTTGGGAACAACTTGAGGGTTAAGTTTTTTGTCATTTTTCAGTGGGTGATTGTGTGGAGTCATGCTGTGCATGTTGTGAGTTCTGGGAGAGTGGAGGCAGGCTGGGCATGCATAGGTGGCAACAACTTTGGCAACATCCTTCTGGGCATAGCAAAGGGGGAGGATTCCTGATGCTGGACAGTAAGGGCCATAGCAGATGCTGGCGAACACTCGCACGACCTCGGTGATTTTTTTATTGCACATCAAATTTCATCCTACATAACACGTGTTGGGCATATACTGAGATAGAAGTGAGGCTAGGAAATGAATATCTTGAGAAAAGCAGTGGCACTGAAAACGACAACAAAAGTAGGAGCAAGGCAGCCAGAGATTGAACAACACAGAGCAGGTAGTGTCCGCATGAGGTCTCACGATTTAAATTATCGCGCCACTCACCAAAATCACCAGAACGGCCACCTTGCGGCATTGAGGAACACCACAAGTTAGCACCGAAGAGTACTTGCGGTCACTGTCGCTTGGGCACACTGTCCGCTACCATTGCACTTCAGCAAAACAGTCAGCAAAATGGTGTGCTTTGCATGGTCAGGTGTAATGGAAATGCTGCAATGTCACAATACAGTATGCAAATGTTTACAGTGTGCAAATGAAAACCCATTGTAAGATGACGTTTATTTGCTTGGTATTAATGTTCCTACATGATTGCTTTCTGCTGTATTATAGAATAGTACTGGTGATTGACTGGTGTGGGGTACATTTATATTCACCTGAACATTCACATAAGATTATGGTGAGGTGACATGTACTTACCATACATTTATGCTCACATGCACACCATCTCTCTACAGTGATGCAATAGGTGATGCGATAGGACGCTGAAGCGTTGTATGTTTGTGCCCGCCTGTGGGACTCACGTTATCACATTACCTGGAGGTGATGCAATAGAACGCTGAAGCCCTGTATGTTTGCTGCCCGCCTGTGGGACTCACGTTATCACATTATCTGGAGGTGATGCGATAGGACGCTGAAGCACTGTATGTTTGCCGCCCGCCTGTGGGACTCACGTTATCACATTATCTGGAGGTGATGCGATAGAACGCTGAAGCCCTGTATGTGCCCGCCTGTGGGACTCACGTTATCACATTATCTGGAGGTGATGCGATAGAACGCTGAAGCGCTGTATGTGCCCGCCTGTGGGATCCCGCTCACGGTATCACATTATCTGGAGGTGATGCGATAGAACGCTGAAGCGCTGTATGTTTGTGCCCGCCTGTGGGATCCCGCTCACGGTATCACATTATCTGGAGGTGATGCGATAGAACGCTGAAGCGTTGTATGTTTGTGCCCGCCTGTGGGATCCCGCTCACGGTATCACATTATCTGGAGGTGATGCGATAGGACGCTGAAGCGCTGTATGTGCCCGCCTGTGGGATCCCGCTCACGGTATCACATTATCCGGAAAATGACCATTGTCGTCGACGCACCCTAAAACACCAATCACAACTTGGTTCACCAGCATGTAGGTCCGTCTGTGCAATCCTTATCGTCAGGATTGAATAATGACGTTGATGCGCCGTTCATTGTGCCGGCTTGTGCCATTGCTGCCGACGGCATGGTGAGATGACGTGGATTTACTGCGTGTTCGCTGACCCGCGCGCCGCTGTCGACAGTACACGGCCAGCATTCCGCAGCTGGTCAGCGACATGATGTGCAGCATCTGCTACACCATGATCTCGCAGGCCGACCAGCTGGACAGTCAGCTGAACCACGTGACGGCGCACATCCGGGCCCTCTTCCACAAGATGGTGCAGATCCAGACGGAGGCCGTGCGTCTCAATCGGGCCGCCCAAGCAGGGCAGGGTGCGTGGACTGTGGGCCGCGTGTCTTAATCCGCTGCATTCGGGGCACGTGACTCCTCCTCGGCAGTGAGCGCAGGCTGCTGTGCCATTGTTAAGGGGGGGGGGGGGGGGTTCTATGTAGTACAAGGACGCTGATTTATGTCGTTTTGGTGGGGTTAGACGCGTACAGAAATTGCTCTGCGTCCGTTGTATGTTGAGACTAATGGTAGAAGTGATGCTTGCGTCAAGGCAGCCAGGGGCGTAGCTTCATAAAGTGAGTTAGGGTTGAGGGGCTGAGCAGTAAACAATGAGGCAACCTACACGTAAAGTACGCCAACAAACGGACTTCTCCCCAGATGTGGCCCACTTTCCTTTCAAAGCTGGGCGGGGGACGGTGGAGCACAATAGGAAATTCACATTCACTGAAGCTGAATAGGAAATTACACCTTTGAAACCGGTGGTCGTGTATACCGCGGCGTGGCGCGGCGCACTCGTCAGTGTCTGGCGCGGCTCGGCTGGGTAAGCGCAGTACTGCTGGAAGTGCGCGTACCTGCTGGCCGCCCCCGGTGCGGGCTCGCGGGCGGCTTGGTGACGGTCGGTGTGGGCTTCAGACGCTCCGGCGGCGCCCCCTCGGACCGGCTCCAATGGCGCCGGCCTGCACCTGCCCGGCCCGCCCGGGCCCGGCCCCGGCCCCGGCGACAAGACCACCCGCCCGCCCGAGCAGACGACGCCCACCAACCTGCAGCTGTTCAAGAAACCAGCCAAAGAGGTGCGACCGGTGCGCGCGTGGATGAGCGAATGTGGGGGAGGATTGAATGCGAATACACGCGCACCATGAGCGCAAATCTCGCACGGTTTTCAATCATTTATGCTATTGTGTTAGTCCCCAAGTCGCCGTTTCACGGATAATGGGAAAACATGGCCGTAATTCCTTTTAATGGATGTGCTGTCGCCCATACGGATGCGCATGTTCAGTGTCACACTACCGGGACGTCTCGCTGACCGTCCCGCGTGCCCCATGTGCCGGCAGCAGTCTGAGGCGCCGCAGCGAGCGGCCTGGCCCTCCTCTAGCTCGGAGAGCGGTGACGGCGCCGCGCTACAGCCTACCACGGCCGCGTCGCCGGCGCCCGAGCCCGGCGACGAGGGGCTCTTCAACATCGGCGCCTTCCTGCAGACGGACCTGCGCGAGGTGGGCGGGGAGCCGGCACCGCGCGCGCCCGCGCCCAACGTCGCGCAGACGGGCGACTTCACCGACAAGTTCGTGCAGGGTATGGAGTCGGACGACGCGTACCGCTACCAGTGCGTGCTCTGTAACAAGCTGGGCGATTGCGAGGAGGCCATCCGCCGGCACGTGCGCACCGATCACCCGGGCGCCGACCGCATCAGCTTCCCGGCGCCACCGCCGCCGGCCAAACGGTCGCGCGCGTCGGCCGGCGCCGCCAAGCCGGCCAAGATGGCGCGTTCCATCACGGCCACGGCACCCGCCATGGCGCAGAAGATCGCTGAGCGCGCCTACGTGTGCGTCAGCTGCGACAAGGCGTTCGGCTGCGAGGCGTTCCTGACGCGCCACGTGGAGGCGCAGAAGTGCGGCCAGATGTTCAGTTGCCAGTACTGCGCCAAGGAGTTCACGCGCTCTGACAAGAAGGTGCGCCACGAGCGCTCGCACACGGGCGAGCGGCCGTTCAGCTGCGAGTTTTGCGGCAAGACGTTCTCGCGCCGCGACAAGTGCACCAAGCACGAGCGCACACACACGCGCTGCCGGCCGTTCGAGTGTCACTCGTGCCGAGAGGTGATGGGGACGGCGGCCGAGTACACTGCGCACCGGCGACACTGCGGCGACCGCGCCTCGTCGGCCGCTGCCGCCGCCGCTGCGGCGGGGCGCGCCTGGCCGCCGCAGCAGGCGGCCGCCGACGCCTGACGAGCGGCCGACGTCACGGCTGGCGTCACGCGTGACGTCACCCTGACGGGGCGGGTCTGCGCGGTGGAGGGCGCGTACTGCCGGGCTTGGGCTGGTGGCGGCGCGGTGCCCGAGGACTAGCGGCGGTGGTCTGCGTGAGGCGTCTGTTGGCGCGGCAGGTGCACGCTGACACGAGCGGTGGTCTGATGTTGCCGACCGGTGCCGGGGGCTGTCCGTGGATCGGAGGCGTCCGGCGTTGTCGTGTGACCGCGATCCTGCCCGCGGCTGTTCCCAGCTAGTTCCAGGACTGACCTGCTGTAGCACTGGAAGTCCCTTGTGGCGTACCTGAATGGCAGCATTACGCGGTAACACAGGTCGACGAGCTTTTCCTGCCCCAGGGTTCCCTCGCATTCGATGTCGGTGGCTGTCATTGATCGCATGGGCGCTGGATGTCAACTTGGGTAACTCGCAGTAGCTCACACGCCATGATATGAAGCACGCTGATGGTTGGTCTTTCGTTGAGGGTGCCCTGTTCCGAGCAAGAACTTGCATCGCGTTTCCGTAAAAGACTGCCGAAGCTCACGTATAAGCCGGGCAGAAAGCTCGTGCTTCTGCGCGAAGCTCTGAATCGCTTGTATTAACACGTCTGGAGAGAAATAAGTGATCTTCCACTGGACTAGCCCGCGCATGCCGTGCCAGCTCGTCCGTGCTCCCATTATGACCACGATTTGGATGATCGAGGATCGAAGATGGGAGTGTGGCCCAGCTCAGCGGCGGCACGGCTCTGCCGGCTCACAGTCGTGTTGGTGGCGTCTGGTCTGGAAGAGCTGCGGCCTCTTTCCCCGGCAGCCACGGTCCGTTGTCGGCCTCAAGCTCGCGGCCCCGGCTAGTATCGCGCTAGGGCTCCCCGGTGAGCATTTCTTGTGGCGTGGAACACGTGTTACTGTGCCACCCCTCCCCCTCCCACTCCCCTTCCCTTCCGATAGATTGCTCTGATGACAAGCGGCTTCTGAACGATTCGTGTACCAACAGGCTGGTGCCGTTGTGTCTGAGTGGGGCGCGGACTCAGACTCCTAGGGCTCCTGGAGCTTCTGGGATAGGGAAGGGGATCCCTGGGACGCTCTTTCTGCAGTGGATAAGTTATACCCTGTGTGCCCCCCGCCCCCACTCTGGCTTTAAAACGATTCTGATGCTTTCACGCCCTGGCATCGAGCGGGTTCACCTTGCTATAAGGCGTCTCTCTAAACTGCCCCTAACTTCAGTTGCCTGACGTTTCTCCGCACCACCCCTTTGCGGATATGGTACGGTTTATGATGTGTGATAATCGTGGTCACCAATGTGTCGAGGCATCTTATACTAGATGATCTGCACCCAAATTTTTCCTGGTGATAGATGGCCAGGATTGTGAAAATGTGCAGGCCTTAGGCCAAAGAACGTCGCGACTCGCAACTGAACGAGCTAGGTAATGGTCACGCTGTACTATTTTTGTATTCATAAAGTGCCATTTTGAAGTCATGATTTGTACGCTGTACAGTGCCTCTCCATATTTTGTATGACCCGTGTGCATAATAAAGTTGGGTTGATGATTGCCCGTGTCTGATTTGCAAGCGCAGAGACGACGCTCGGTGTCTTACCTCCAACTTATAAACCACATGCGGTGAGGCGCAGCAGTGGACATTGCTGGTCTCGACGTCTCCGAAATGGCCAGACATTGACTTCATTGGCAGACTGGACCTCATACGCACACGAGCTGTTCATTGGCACCAAGCGACCTTCGCACGTCCAGCGTAGGGGGCGTATCAAAAGAAGGCGGTGGGCGGAATATGGCGCGCGTGGGCTCCACGCACGGTTAGAGACCGTTTCACATTTGTGTTGGGGGGGGGGGTCTGAACTGAGATAGCCATCTTCAAGACCATTCCCTGCAGTTCACAGCTATGCTCTGTTTAAGACATTACATCCCCTCTGCTGTGGGCTGGGCGCAGGTGTGCTTATGTAGACTGTTGTGTGCCGACTGTTATTGATGGGTGTTTATGCAGACTATTTCGTGCCACCTAATCTGATGTCACCCAGAGACGCATGATGGCATAGAAATGTCACGAATTCCGGCTCCTCAATGGCCATTTTGTGCTCAAAGTCAAGGCAAATGTGACCTTTGACTTTATGATGATTTAGTAACTTTATTGATATGGCGTGCTCCTCGAGCACGCGGGCCCCCAGCAGCTAAGAAGCATTGGTCGGCTACTCATCGCCGGTAACCGCACAAAAGTTATCGTATTCTGGACCCCAGGTCTGATCATTGTTTTTTATTATTCGCTATTATGTTTGCAGATAACGACGGCCGCCTGCCTTTGTTTACTTCCGCCGCACGACATAGTTCTGGAATATGTCGGCCACATATATCCTGACGATCTGGCCTGAACATTAATGTCTGTGGTAGCTAATTAGTAAAAATTGTCTCTCGAGTGCAGGCAAGTGCTGGTGCTTTTTTGCGCGGAGCCAGTTCCTGGTTATCAGTTCTGGAACCGGACCATCATCTTAGCTGAGGTTCTTGTTAGGAATCGGTGCTTAATGGTACGATGCACTTAGATGTAAGCGCATACAGGCAGATAATGAGGGTATCAGGGAATCACGACATTACATTTTGCACGAGCAAATTCTATAGAATTGATACCCAAGAAGTTTATACTTCAGATGATTTGTCTGCTTTATTTGAAAAACTTGGAGATGATAACGAGAACTAATGTGAACAAATGAGCCAATGACAGTTCAGGAACCAGGATCTGGTGTTTTGCGAGCGAACCAAAGGAGAAAAATCTGCGGTCTGGTGTTTTGCGAAAAACTAATGGGAGTTAGGAACCACAATGATCATCGTGAAAGAATCGGGACAAAACGTGGAACGACGGTGTGATACATGATGAAACAGTCGATGGGAAGCAGGGTCTAATGTTTACGACCAACCACTGAGAGCCAGGGCTAAGTGTTAAGTGTTAAGTGAGCCAGGGCTAAGTGTTAAAAAAGCAAGGCGATCCAAACATCAGAAACCGGCGTCAAACTAAGGGCAGATGGACAGGGGCAGAAAGGGCAGACTGATGACGTCGTGCGGCGATGCACTGGCGTTCTTATCGGCCTCAGCCGCGGCCGGCACAGTCTGCCTCAGACCACACTCATTACTCCTTTCCAGGATCTAGTGATCTCACTCATCCGTTACTGCATCTGTGTGTACGGAACATGTGATGCTACTCAAACACCACGACTGCAGAAGCTGCTGCACTTCGCAGCACTGGTCATCTCTGGGCGTCGGAAATACGATCATGTGAACGATGTTTTACGGGATCTCGAGTGGATGTCTGCTGACAATATGTTCTTACATCTTACACTGACACTTCTGAAACGCATCCTGGAAAGATCCCAGCCGGAGTTGCTATCTGTTCACCTTATCCATAGACGCCATGTTCACCATCGCACAACGAGGCAGGATGATCAGATCCGAATCGGGAAGGCGGCTTTTTGTTTGCGCCACCGTGGCCGCCTACAACGCACTACCGCAGAATATCCGCGAGCTGAGCCTTCCACAATTCAAACGCGAGTTGCGTAGTTATATCCTGCAGCGGCGGATCAATGACGGATAGCGACGCCTTCTTCAAATGAGTTTAGCGAGTGTGAGAGTGCGTTCTGCGTATGTGTGCCTGTGTGTGTGCGTGTTTGCGCGAGCCTCCCTGGCCTAGTGTTTTATTTCCATGAGACGGGCTCTGTAATAACCATATTATGAGTGGAATGAGATTATGACGTGTAATAAATAAATAAATAAACAAACAGATGTCAAACAGGCGTCCAGGTGGGTAGCCAGTGTGTCCCCCCCCCCCCCCCCGAAGTCAGTGGTGTGAGAAGTGAGAGAGAGAGAGAAGTCAGAAGTGAGAGTCAGTGGGAAGCGGGGTCCAGCGTTTTATTTTCGTGAAGCGTTCGGTGGGATCCAGGCTGCCTCATGTCTGTCTTCCAAACGTTGAAGGTCGCCTGCTGCAGGCCTGAATAAACGAAGATAAAAGTGTTGCTCCGTGTACACCATAAGGAAGCACGTTTAAGCTAAAACGCGTAGGGTAGAGGCTAAAGGGACGCGCTACGTAGAGTTTAAAATGATAAAATTATGCGTCTTGAACTTAACAAGATGATCGTGTGTTGATTTAAGACTGAAGTGCGATGCTTGTGCAATCACTGCAAGTCCATGGAAGACACGCCACTGGCGTTCCCACAATGACGATCTACGCGTGATGAGCGCCGTTGCTCAGCTGCCAGGTGGGATTGCTGGGTGTCAGCTTCAAAGCTGGCCATGCATCCCATTCTCAGCATCACAACCCGTCCGGTGTGCAGCTCGAACAAGCTCTGTCCACCGAGCTCCTGTGCTCCAGGGCCCTCCATGCGTGCTCCCTAACGGTCCGACCTGCCAAAGCGCACGACGACGTTGTGCTCCGTGGGACGATTTACGTGACTGCCGTGTGCTGATGGGTTGTCTAGCGGTGCGGATGGCACGTGGGTTGTTCTTGGACCGCGCGCTGCGGCAGCACGGTCAACCAAAGGCGGCGGGGGGGGGGGGGGAGAACCCAGCCACCAATAATGCACATCGGCTCCTCGCGTTCCCGACCCGCAATCTCTCTGCATGAACATTTCAAGCACACCGGCCCCAACTTAGTTCATGTTGTGTGACAATAAACAAGCAGTTTGTGTCATGCCTCATCATTGGGCGCCTATCGAAAGCTCTGCAATGAAACGAAGCTTTAAATTGCTGACTTAGAGCACAGCCAGAATTCACCTGGGCGGAGACGGGAATGACTAGCATGATTGGCGGCGGAAGAGCTTAGATTTGAAGAGCGCGTCCCATCCCCACTGACAATGGCACGACGGCAGAGATCCTATTTACACTACTTGGCTGATTGCTACTGAAACGGTTGCTTGTATTGGGTGCTGGTGCGCTTTCCGTCACTTGGATGTCATGGTTGTGAAGCATTACCGCCGCGTGTAACCGGAGGCATCTGGGTTGACGACTGGCGTTGGGTGATATTTCCTTCTCCGTGTCGAAAGTTGTCTACTTTGGGAGGGAGGAAATGAAACCACGCCTGCTATTCCGTGCACACGATAAGAACACATATGAAGTATAACATGATCCTCATGTAGTAAAGTCAAAACCCTTCACACGATACACCTTGAGCTTTCCCACTCCATCACACAATCATCCTGCGTTAGTTCAACTGGAGCAATAAGTGCGACGCTCACACAACGGTAGAGAATATGGGAGGCATTTCACAGGTGGTAAACACCGCTGCTGCAATCGCCAGTCAGCGCGCTACGTTTCAGTTCTAACACCGACTACGCATCCTGTCCTCTGCGCTGTGGCCTGTCCGAAGAGC